CTTTTTAATTTAATAATAGCTATTTGAATTAATTTTCCGAAAACATCTTGTAACAAAGAAAATTTTGATCAATGAAAAAACGTAAACTTGGTTGTTTACGAAAAGTTCACTAACATTACTGCGAAGGCACGAATTCGTACTTGCTCTGGCGACATGCGCTACCAGGCACGAAAACTATACCATTTCTTACTTCGAAAGTTTTTCTTGACATTTACACGTGTACTACGCCCTCGGTAGGAAAAATAGCATTCACCACATAATCACCATCCAATCGGACCTAGTAGACCTACGGTCCCTGGGGCTGCAAAATAGTCTCGGTGATGATGGCGATTGTAGGACGAAAACTACCATTACTCACTAAAAATTACAGCGTAATATAAAAAATGTTGTTGCACGGTTAGACTGATTAATTGCTATCACTTTAAAAAATGTCAGTTGTTCTATTTCATCAAAATCTAATCTCGATATCCTGGCAGACTTGAATACGTTTATGTCCTATATCCTTACGTTATACGATACGCTTTGTATGATAATTTAGTGGAATTTAATAAAAACTCAAATGTAAGATCAATCGGTCTGAATATGAATAATAATAATAATAATAATAATAATCATCATCATCATAATAAATTTTAATATTCATTAAACAAAATAAAGACTTATAGACCTCATTGAAAATACATTCAACGTCATAAATGGTGTGGCTATTTTTACATTGTTGATTTTTCTCAGCATTATACCGATGTGTGTAAGTCTACGGTTACAAATATATTGACATACTTTTTTATTTAATGATACGTTTTCAATAGTGATCCTTTTATTGCAGATACTTGAAACTAACGACTATTTTGAAAAAATCAGACAAGGCACATTTTTACTCGCCGTATTAGCAATTCTGTTTTTGATAAATTGGCCAGGGCAATTACTTATCGACGAGAGCGAAGATTTATTCCTTTCAACGTGAATATATTTCATTTGTTATTTGAAAAACTACTTATTTTTATGATTTTATCATAATTGATTAAAGATTATACTTTGACAGTTATATGGGTGAATGGTATCGATTATCTGGAAGATCAAAAGCTTTGCTAATAATCATGAGATACAGATGCATGCGGCCTTGTATTTTCACTGCAGGGACATTGTGCATTTTAAATTACAAAACTTACGCGCTGGCAAGTAAATCAAATGTTCATCCAAATACTATTACTGTTCAGTTGTTGTTTTATAAATAAATTAATTTTATATTTTAGATCATGAAAACAGCGTATTCCTATTTGACTTTTCTATATTCTATGAGACGGCCCCAATCATAATAGCGCAATGAAGTCACGTGGGGGTATTGGGATTGGAGCTGAATGACCTATCCTAGAACATCTGATATACGTTATTTTAATTTTATTCACTTGGTGAATCTATATATATAACTAGTTAAAATTGTACGGACTGCAATATAAACACACATTGTATGGATACCACTCGTTATGCAACTTTTATGTAATACTGACAATTATAAATTGTCATGCCACCTATGTAAACTAAATGTTGACAAATAAAAATCATACTTACTCAATTCAATGGCTACATTTCATATTTTATTATAAGCCATGATAGAATGGATATTTACAGGTGTGTTCTTATTGACCAAAATAATAAACTAATCATAGCGTTGGAAGAAGCAACCAGTCATGTTAAATTTTCCACTAATCATTATTTACCGTGGTAGAAATACGAATAAAAATTATAAACACTAAGAACTCCGCCTCTGCACACTTCGCGCGCCAACCACTTCACAGTTAATAATAAACGTTTAATATCCCGAATTTGTTAGACCAATTGAATAATTTGCTTTTGCAAAATATATACTTTTAATTTTTATTTATATAATGTAAAAATTTAGACTACTTATTCTTCAATTTCATTTTCAAACTTACACGTCCAAGGCCGGTCTCGATCAATCACAAAACGAATAAATTGATGACAACCAAAATTTATAGGTAGGACAAGATAGTACAAATTTCGTAGAAAGTTCAAGCCTAATTATTAAAAGTTCTTGTCTAAACTCAAAAATTAATGAATTGTTGTGGTGAATCAAATTTTCCATGCATTTTCTCTATGCAGTATTCACTCACTTGTAAATATAGATTACGTGCTGTTTATTATTGTTATTATGAATTAGGTGAACATATTTTATTTAAACACCTAGTTTAATGTGTGTATTATTTTAATTCATATTTCTCCCACGCTTAAAGATGATTGATAGAAAATTAACTATGGCTAACTGCTGCTGACTTGAAAATGCTGTGATTGGTCGATCATTGTGATCAATAAGAATAAGCCTGTAGTCAATATACTTGTCCTTTCCATACCACATGTGTAATGACTACATTTCACAAGGACTATTAGTAGTAAGCCAGTAATATAAATTGTAAATGTCGCATCATGAGGGCGATGTTCACCGTGTGATCGTCTACTGCCCTATCAGACTTGGGCAAAGTTGTATTTATTATTTGAAAAAAAAGATACTATTTTATTTGGAAAAAAACTGTTTTATCAATTGAATAAAAATTTTTTCAAAATAACGTAACAATTACTTGAAACTGTAATTACAGTATTTAAAATTTTTTAACTACATACTAATGGTGTTGTAATTAAAACATTTTAAAAATATTAAGCAAAAATTAAAAAATCTGAATACTTTATTTTAAACACAACATTCTAAATAAAATGTTTTAAATACAAAAAACTTGAAATACAATTGTATTTGGTCAGTTGATTTTAAATAACGTAATTGGAATATAAACGTAGTTGATAAAAGTATTTTAATTTATTTGATGAAATACATATATATTTTAAATAATTTACTACAAATACAATTGTGTTTGAAATTTTTCATGTGAAATACTTCATCAATTAAGTGTATTTCAAATATTTAAATTAAATAATTGGCTAAATATATTTGTATTTGATAACGTAATTGAAATAATCAAGTTAAATACAAGTATAATTTTTCAATGTGTTTAAATGGAAAACATAATTGTCCACGACAAATTACGTTACCATGAAATTCAAAGTTTACATTTTTTGTCTTATTCTATAGCCATACCTAAACGTTATATAAAATGATTCAAAGCAAAACCACACTATCATATCATGTCTATTAGTAGTACCCAAACCCAACCATGTAAAATTTTTGTAAAAGAACCTAAGGTGAATTCATAGAAAGATTTGTTGTGTGTGTCTGTGTACCGTGTATAGTTTTTCTGTTCTCCTCGTAGTACTCAGAACCCTTGCATCTAAGATTAGCCCTGATGTAATATTAAAATACATGCATGTACATCTTCACATTAATTGTGGGTTTAAAGTCACAAGGATAAATATTTATAATTTTTTATTTTTATATTAAATTTTTGTTTTGAAACCATTATAGAGCGTTTTTCATCATTCGGGAACAACCTTTACTGACGCGGTCCCGAATCACTTTTATTTCATACATTCGTATTTGAAATACAATATTTAAATACATTCTGAAATGAAATTGTATTTTATCAAACTATTTAAAACAGTTAAGTTAAGTACAAATGTATTTAAGCAAATTATTTCAAATACTTTATCAAATACAAGTGTATCTGGAACAATGTATTTAAGTAAAAATGTATTTCGTACAATTTATTTGAAATAAAGTATTTTAGAGTATTTCAACTCTAAGCTCTTCTTACATTGGAAAAATATTTTAATTTGCTCAAAGTTAAATCCTCAAATCCAAAGCTCAACGTAAACGAAAATATTTTCTCGTATAATTCATTTACGGACAGTCGGTACGTTTTTTGGCTGGCAATTCGTGCGTTCTATAAAGAACAAGCCACTCATGCGTGCTCTACAGTTCAACGTGGAAAGTGCCTCGGTNGTTAAGATATTTTATCAAAACAACGTAATAGAATTTTTGGATAGCTTGAATTAAAGCTGAAATAAAGTACTTCAGAGCATTTTAACTCTGTCTAATACTGCTCATTTCTGTGCCCTGTAGTCTAAGAACTTAACGAATTCTTAATAAAAAAAATACATAAAAATCGTTTTTGATTTCTGAGGTTTATTATTTACTTCCAAAGTTATAGTCAATTTTATGACAATTCCCATAAAACTACGTGTTAAAGTTGGCAAATTTGGCATACTTTTTTTGCGATTGATTTTTGACCATAGGCATACGGAAAACTCACCTCAACTCCTATTGGTTTTTCAAAAAGTCCGTACTATGCGTTGCGCAATTACATCCACACCATACACCAGCAGCAGATGTTCTTATCGAACAGTATTATAATTTTTTAATTAGTAACATATGCAACTCCAAAAATATGTAAATAAAAATCGTTCATCACTGTTAGAGGGGAAATGTAGAGAGGGGGGAGCGAGCATGCGGCAGCGCTGGCAACTGTTTTGAATGAATTTGTATACCTATATATAGGCGTCAAACACTGTTTTTTTCATTTAACTGCAAAAGTAACTTTTCGATCTTTCTGAAAATTGAGAATAAGACCAGTATTATGGTATTGCGTCATGGAAAAAAAAATTGGAAAAATTCTACATACCATTTTCTTATAAATTCAATTTTTATGTGACTCCTCCATAAGGTTACGTGTTTAATTGAAGTTTTTTCAACATTCAATATTTAAAAAACGGTGTTGTAAAACGATCTCAAATTTTACAGGTAACTTTCTTACATCATTACGAGCATCCTGTTAAAATTTCAGGAAGATCGTACAGAAAACGCTATTTGTGATGAACGTCCTTAATTGGAAGCTCAACCGTCTCGTAAAAGGAGTTATGAGGAATCTGAAAAATTTTTATTATGAGTTTAATGGCACCTATTGTAAGTCAAAGGTAAACTATGAATGTCTTTTCATGTAAGTTTAAAAATTTTCCAATATCAAATAATCAAATAATATTTTGGTATTTGTTTATAATAAATAACAACAGTGTATCATAATAGAAGTAAACTTTTTGCCCCATAATACGTGACTACCTCGTATATTGTCCGTGCATAAAAAAGGAGAGATGAGTATAGTTTTGTCAAGTTTTTGATTTTGATCGGTGCTTCAAGAGTTACGGACACATCAATACAGAAAACGGACATATATGCGAATGTACATACACGGAACGTCAGGCACAATTAAAAGTGTGCATAGATACCTTATATTTTATAACAGTTTGTAATTGAAGACAATTTTTGTATTTAAATAAAAAATGAGCTGACGTGTAGAAGTTTGAGCGGTGTTAGTCACAGAGTTGATTTCAAGCGACAATGATGGAGAAGTTAATAAAAAAAATGGGTTCGAGAACATTAGATGATTATTATGACTGTATATATGAAAAGATGACTAAGAATCTTTTAGCCTCTCTTGGCTTGTGGTATGATAGACCTCAATTAGAAAGAACAGCTTTATCATTTATTGTGTCGTTGATACTGGTATCTGGACAATTTTATGCGGTAAGTAAATTATTTTTGTTGGGAATGTTAGTTCATACACAAAGGGAAAAAGTAAAGAATATATAAAATTGTATCTATGACATTCAATATTCGGCCTATTAATAAAATTGCCATTGCGCGTAAGATTTTTAATCACATAGCAACTAGGGTAAGAGTAACCTAAGCCTTAAATAAATGAAAATAGTGACAGTAATATTATGGTGAGAGTTCAAATTCATTTCAAAATGTATAACTGTGGTGAAAGGTTAATTAAGCTCTGCGATGTAACCAATTCTGACCTCTAAAAAAATAATAACGATACTGTACACATATTTATAACGATATAATAACTATAAAACTGAAGGTAAAAAGTTATGAAAATAAAGAATGTCAAGATCGATTGTAAGATGCAATCTGATCTAGATTCATGAGTTTTTGAAGTTAATAAATTTTTTCCTCAAAACTGATACTTATAACAAAAATTTTGGATAAGATTTTTAAACTTAAAATTTTACGAAAATTTTATGAATTACGATTTCTTTGTCAATTTCCAAAAGATTGACCTGCACAATAGATTTAACATTATAAATCAATTCGGAATTTGTCATAAGCAATCTTTACTTCTACAAATAACTTTGCTCAAATAATACAATTTTAATACTCAAGTTAGAAAGCATAAAATCATTAAATTTTTACGTTCATTACTACCTAACATCCAAACTAACTTTTACCAACATGAAACAAATCTATTTTGAAAAGCAAACTTATTTCACGTCCCAACGATATTTTTCATTATGATAATTTTGCAGTGCAATAATATATTATTTAGAGATTTCAGTCTTTGAGTCACTGATGATAATAAA